GCTAACGCAATAAAACCTTTATCTTTAGACCAAGTAATTATTGGATTCATTTGGGAGCATCTTTTGTGATCTTGTTAGGAGTCAATACCAATCAAATCTATTCACCGGAAAAACTTCCTATTCGGCTTGGTGTTCTTACAAGCACATTTTCATATTTGTATTATCCGGTAGAAAACGATAATCCAGATATTTTTTAAGTAGCCCTTTTTGACTCACATAGGCATGTCCCTCACTTACTTTTTTTATCATTTCTCGTTTGGAGTCCGCTACAGAATTTCCTTTCTCTAGAGGCTAACACCGCGCGAATGCGGAAGGCTACGACTCCGGATGGGGAAAGCAGAACATTGAAAAAACTTTAACGCTTCTAGCTCGGCTCTTCTGTGCTTCTGCATACGCAGTGCAACCAGCAGCGTATATAAGTCCGTCTACCCATCGATCTCCTATCTCGTTGTAGGCTTCCCGGGCAAGGGCCCCGCAACACGACGCTGCACAAGCACCGATTGAGTGTCGGTACTGGCCGAATATAGCTATCGCTTGCCATAAGACCTTTGCAAAAGAGAGAAAGCGTTTGGTTAAAGAAAGATAGAACAATTTACAAAAATGTCGGTGTTCATTTTCGTCGGCATTACTTTGGGAGCCGGTACGTAGCCTAAAACGCAGCCTACGGACAGCAAACGATCAGGCGGGAGCGCAGACTCTCAGTGATCCAAACCAGTCCGCAAATCCGGTCCAATCTAATATAACCGACGAGCCCTCTGCACCAATGAGCGTTCTTTCTCTTTCTCTTGAAGCTGTTCCGAAGCTGTATGCTTTTGGCCCGCTGCTGCTCCGGCGATCAGCACCGAATAGTACGAATGGAATGTTGCTAAAAAACAATTTCTGCATCGACAACGAGCTTACACGTTTAGATGCATTTAGATGGCGACTGATCCGGAGTCGATCGCCGCTGCTGTCGATATGGGCGCCTTACTTTGGTTCGGTTGCCGGTGGATATAGTCCGATCAAGCGACCGCTCGATCTACGCCCACTGGATCGTCGCCAGTGCTCCGCGAGACCCTCCGTACGCTCCTACCGGTGTCCGCTCTGCTCTTCAAAACACTTCTACCAGCAAAAGTCTGTTAGGCCGCTAAGTCTGGTTAGCTTATCTTCAGTGTCATAGAAAAAAGAAGGGAAACGGTTGCTGGAGAGAAAACTAGCTCGTATCTGTTGTTTACCGCCGTTGTGTCTGAGAGAGGCGTTCTGAACGCTCAGGTGTCTGTAGTGTGCGTGGCTATGCGAATATACATGAGTAGTCTTCTTAACTGGGTAACCAATTGTAGCAATAGTTTAGCCTAGTCCAAAGAAAAGTCTGAAGCCCGACAGGAGCCGATTGTGTGCTTCTTGCACGGTTGCGTCCGGATCCATGTGTTGAAAGAGCTTTGCCCTACGTTCTCTGCCTCCTGCTGGTGATGCTGTTGGTGCGGACCTTACGGCCATCACTCATCCAGAGGCGTGTGGCTAGCAAAACACAGCAGTATAACGACTACTTACTCGGTACTTCTGTGAGATTTAATGCTTTTGGATTCCACGGCCTCGGAGCAGAACCGATCGACTCTTTCGACTCGAAGTCTTTACCCACTCCACGATATCATAACGAAACCGATAGACAAGCAGCACTTGACAGATGAAGCAGGCGAGAACTCTGTCAGAGACAACGAACCAAGAAACGAAGAAGGTCGATGGCGTCACGGGTGTCAAGCAGCAATACTCGGATAAGACGAAGCGGTACACCGACGTTTTACACGGTACTCACCAAACAATTGAGTGATTCGATGGCAGTTTGCAATCAATACACCCTATAGAACAACACATTGCGAACTCTCGTTATTCCCGAGAATCTTTAAAGTTTTCAAGATTGCGAAATTGGCTGGAAGCAAACAGAAGCATTAGTTAAGACAAGCGTTTCATGTGAATTGTTAACGTACATGTACTTCTACAGCTGTATACTTCTGCTTCAATAGGTTCACACCGCTATTTTATATAGGTCAAACTAGTTGTATCTTACTGATTTATGGTACGACTAGTGGACAAACTTTCGCAGGTTATTTATGATGAAAGCCATTTTCTCTTAGCCAAAAAGGTGTGTTTGGGGACTGGACATTTGAGAATACATATACATTCGGCCCTGTGTCGGCATCGCACTTTGGCAATAGGTCCGCAAACAGGGATGCATCCCTTCGACTGCTGACAAAGGTAAGATGAGAGTGGCATTCATGTTTGTTTAGGGGGCGGAGAGGCGATCGAGAAAGGTGGGATAGAATCAAGAAGAGTTCTGAAGAAGCGTTTGAGCTCAATTGGGCCCTGGACATTCTACTGGTCGGAGAATACACACAAAGAGCCATTCTCCCCACCGCATTCTCGCTCCCCCCCCCCTCCGTCTTGTCCTGCCATCGAGAGAGATCGAGAGAGGGGGCGGGGGGGGGGGTAAATCAATCTTTTTTAGTGCTTCGCATACTGCAAGCTCTTACCACAAAAAGCACCGATGACAACTCGCCGGCATCCAAAGCCCCAGGTGTGGCGCAGCTCTTTACCTTCTTTTTTGTACGGTGTAGGAGGCTATAAAGGGGGAAAACGGGACAGCGTACCTCATGGGGTAGTGTCCACGAGATAAGCCGCGTAAAAGCTTTAAGGGATTGTGTGAGGGGCGCGGCGGCTAATTTGCACCGGACGTGCGGGCTGACTGCCCGCGGGCGCTTCAAGAAATGAGAAAGGAAGAGAAGTAGGACTGATCCAAAGTCGCTGGTGCAATAAATGATCCATTGAGATGCACTATTAGTCTGCGCTTGATGCTGTGCTATTACGTCGCATCTTGCATGTATCTCACAGTAATAGCATCGATGTTGAACTGTTTCCATGCATCGATCAACAGGCTTTTCTATGGTCCACCAGTTATATATAATAAAAAACGAACGTTCGCGGTAATAGAAACTACTGAAACTAAATCGAGATGTGTGTGCGCTACGTGCCTGTAGCGTAGGAAGAATGACAGAAAGTCTCAATTGTAGGCTTAGCCAGCCAAAGCTACTACATAATCTAACTATACGGCGCCTAACGTGAAGCTGGTGTCGATCGTGCAAAGCTTTCAAGCACAATATATTATTGACATACCATTATAAGAATATGTAATATAATCTGGTGGTGATTCTAACATATAACCCTCAACCGTCTTGCTTTTCGTAAATGATCTTCTAATTATTGCTACCAACGTCGGTGCATATCTGCCAATTTGAAAGCTTCTCTGAGTTAACCCATCCACTCTTCTCGGTATATATAATCGGAATTAGGCGTCGACGCGATGGCTTGGAGAGCCGATCTTTTAGTTGAAAGAAACCAGGAGTCGTTGCTTTATGTCCCATACAACCTGTGTAAATATACAAATAATAAAATCCACAGCTATTGATGCATGCAATAGCAGAAAATCGACCCATGTTGCCAATGAAGCACACTACATATTATATGATACCACGAGAATAACAATCAGTTCCGGCTGGTACTATTAGCAATTCCAACTCGCTCTCGATCCGGAACGGGCACACTGTGCATTGGACAAGGCTAAAACGAGAGAATAAGAAAATGCTACTGCTTGCCGTACAAGCAAGAGGATGAGGATACGGACGCAGTAAAAAATGCACCATCTCCTGATTGCCTGCCTCCTGGCAGAGTCCTGCGTCTACTACCAGCGGCGCACTATCTTTGTACGGTCTGTGGTTCGTTAAGGGGACCAGGAGGGCGCCGACCGGAGTGCACACGCGTCGGCATGGTGAGCGCTAGTATGCGTCCACCTCGATGCCGTGCGTGTCGAAGCGGTCAAGACAGTCAAAGCTTTCCGAGACCCCCAAGGCCGGGCAACAGGGGTTCCCCTCTTTCGTGTCCCAGAGTCCACTACTTTAGTCTATCTCTTTTCTCCTTTGCTCTCTGTGTCGACTTTGTCTATAGTGTACAGCAATGGCAGTGTTCTTGTATATTTCTCGCAGACCCTTCAGCTGTCACGCACTTCTTTTCTCTCTAGTGAAAAGCGTCCCAACGACACATGCAGTGGGGCTTTATTTTTCCCTCGGTTTTTTCTCAGTTTCTTTCTTTCTTTTTTGGTTTTTGTGCTACTTGGCTGGCTGACTGGCTGTCGAGGGCTTTATCGGTTCGCCTGCGGCCGGTGTTCTCGGCTGGACGATGCCGTATGCATCGGTGCTCTATGCTCTAAGCGTTATTGGGTTTAAAACGGCAAAATACTTGAAGGTGGTTGTTCTTTGATACTGAGTTTTATGCATAGAATACGTGCATAGGCACAGTTTGACGCTTTTGCTGATCGTATGCCAAAAGCGCACTATGTTGATAGGGCTATGGCAAGTTAAACGCGGCAGGAAAAATCTTGGTCATAAAGGAGTAGTGCGCAACTGTACGAGTGTTTTTGCGGTAAATTAAATTTCATACAACGCCACGTTAAGAATATAGTTTAGGAAACTATATATTTAATCTAAAATAATCGTAGTAATGGTAATGATAAAATTGAATAATAATCATTTGTGCTTTAATGAAAATTCATACTATCAGTGTAAAACGACAGAGAAACCTGTCCAACTGATAATGATTTAAACAAACACCTTCATGTTCCAGACTGCCCGTTCGAAAAAGCGAATCTGTACTTTATTAGCTCGAAGTAATTAGAAACCAAATGAGAGACATTAATAAGTAGTAACTTAACTACTCGTATGGTATAAATAAAGTGTAAAAAAAATACAATCAATAACAGAAATATATACAGCGTACGCAAAAATCACTTGACAGTTTGAAAGTCTTTTGACACCTCGAAAGGCTTGTTTTTTTTTCTCTTATTTTTATTACAATTTATTCTCCTACCACGTGAACTGCTAAGTCGGCTGACTCTTACCGAACCCGCTCTATACATTATATAAAAGTACGCCTAGTTAACGTTATTTGATCGAAAACGGAATGCTACTACTCACTGGTCCCGTTGGCGTTTCTCGATAGCACCCGGTTGCTGTTTCCGCTTGTCGCGCTGTTGCTGCCGACCGAGCTCGTGTGATTCAACGCCGCAGGGGCTGAGGCTGCCTGCTGCTGTTGTGGGCAACCCGGACCTGCTGGGCCACCCTGACCGCCCGCTGCCACGGGGCTACTGGCGGCTAACGGATGCGGAATGCCGGGGCTGGCCCCCAGGGGTCCTCCGCCACGTTCGCCGCCAAACGCTGCCGTCAGAGCCTGTTGCTGCTGCTGTTGCTGTTGCTGCTGTTGATGGTGTTGTGTAAAGTGGGCCCCCGCGGGAGGGCTGCTCTGTTGTCTACCCTGCTGGCCACCAGAGAGCGTTGGTCCGCCCGGACCCTGCTGGTCGCGATCCCGACCGCCAATGTTAGCACCACCGACGCCGCCGCCGCCGCCGCCACCACCGCTGCTCGAACCTGTCGAATGTCCCGCAAGGGCTGCAGCAGCAGCTGCTGCCGCGGCTGCTGCGGTTGTTTGCGATGATGATGAGAGGTGGCCGCTATGCGACGTGAGGGACGGTGGTCCAAGCCCGCCTAGGGACGGCGGAAGTGGCGAGCCGTCGCCGGGATGATGGGTGTTATTGTGTTGCGGACTAGGTGACGAATGGGATGGAGGGGGCGGAGGGGGAGCCAACGGTGGAAGGCCAAGTGGATGCGTCGGGGGTACGAGCGGACCTACCAGACCGGGTGGCACCAGGCCAGGGGTAACCTGAAGCGCTTGAGCTGCTTGCGCCTGCGCTTGACTACACTGGTTCAGGTACTCCCGAACCTGCTGCTCCATAGACATGTCACACAGAGCGCGCACCTAGAATAGAATAAAGCCAAAATTAAATAAAAGCCAAAAAATATGACAAGATATCCACAGATTCGCACAAAGGAGGAAAGGGACGTTGGTACCAACGGAACAATATGATTTATATTATTATTATGATTGTACGGTGGAAATGTGTCACTTGTTTACCGAGCGGAAATGTAGGTCGCTCTTTACACGAACAACCTTTCCGTACCTTAGATTGTTTATGTAAGGAGCGGACGCATTGCAAGACAGTACTTGTCTACTTTTATTTGACAGCTATTCATCATAGCATTTACGTATATTGTGAGTTGTTTTATAAAAAATTCCAGTCTCCCTAAAGGTGCCTTGATTTCTAATTCATCTTATGTTAATAACAGAAATGCAATAGCTCTTTTACAGTACCCATGTTAAAATGTTCTTCTGCTATTCAAGCCGTTTACACTCATTATCTTTTCTTAGTTGCCTGAAGTTATCTCTGACCGTCTCTGTGTATGCTAAGCCCAAATCCTTCGGCCGTTGTTTTTACGTCGCAAAAGAGTCGTATAAAAAAAATTTTCTACGCTTCAAGGTTTATTAGAATCGCGTATACGTAAAGTGTCACTCATGCAAAACCTGTTCTATTCGTCGAAACCCTGATCTTATCTTATATATGGGTAATAAATCTGATATAATATCTTATATAATAATATGGGTAAGCATAACGCGATAATATATGTGGGTCAAATATAGGAAAGGCAAAAACTTTCCGCAAGAATCTTTCCGACAGTGTTGTACTACAGGAAAGTAGGTCACGTATGACCGGCATCGACTGCAACTTGCGTGAACTTGCGTAGCTCCTCTGAGAACTGTTACATCGAAAAGCTGTTACGTTTAACTTCTAATGAAAAAGTAATTGCTCATCCATTTTTTGAGAACAATAAACTACTATTTCTCACGTTCTCCATATATCACACTTAGGAAGTTATTTCTGTATTCCCTCCCTTTTAACAGCCCTTTCACTGAGCACCCACACATGTGTAATGTTGAGTACGTTAAAGACAATTTCAAACCAATGCTTCACCAAGTAGACGCTGTGGTGTCTATTTAAGGAGGCATATATAGAACAAACAATCAGATTATGCTTTGTTTCAAGGCTAAAAAACATACTGTGTAAGTTGTCAGATCGAACCGGGTCGGTGCTGGTTATAGCCTCCAACCTGATAACTGTATTGCGGCTAGAATTAGGGGTGTACGATATTAATTAGGCGCTTTAAACTCTTTAATGTAAGGTCTCTTTAAAACGCCAGATTTGACTACACTTTTTAATAAATCATTGTAGTGCTAGAGCTTAAAAATGGTTCATAAAAAATGAAGTTCGGTTTTAAACAAATTTTAATTATTTATTTTATAATTGTTACACATTTTTCATTGTTTAATGCAGCACCTCTTGCGCACACTGAGTTCCTTGAAGGCATCAGTTTCTACTGGGCACCCGCGGCCAGTAGCGCCATCTAGCCACTGGGAGTGGAACTATACTTAAGAAACTTTGGTCCCAAACCACAGATGGCGCTGTGGTTTTACGCGCGACTCTCTTCTATAGAAATTTACAGAGTGGACATGAATCGAACAAGATACACGAATGCTTAATACGAATAGTTAGAGACTGATTCTCATGGAAATAAATTTACCTGATTATGTATGTATGACACGTCTCCAATAGTAATACGGCTTAATTTTTGAGACTAGTAAAAGAGGCGTTGTTTAATAAGGGCAGTCGACAATCCGCTAGTTTATAGATATGATTAGTTTATAAAAAAACCTGTGTTTTTGTCAATAATGTAATAGCTAAGTTGTTCGATAGAAATGTTTTCAAATTAGGTTTGTGTGCAACATTAGCTCATGGGACAGAAGATATAAGGTGTAATTTACTCTTTCGAAGTCTCTTTATAGCAAATTGCGCTGTCTATTTTCCCACCTTTACGCACCAGCTACTCATAAATTAGGGGAGGTACACAGAGTAAGACTATTCGCATGAAAATTAGCATAAATATATGGTTTCTTTTAGACTATTTTCTGAATTATTTTGAGAGGAAATTACGTATCGAGATGTAGCTGCCCAAATAAATTGGCTTTGACCTCCGCCGTTCTATTACACAAGATCCTGTGCGGATATGAGTTGTCAGGCGTGGAATGTGTACCCAGGCACGACCAATAACCGTAAACTAGGCTGAGGGCTGCTACTTGTCAGGCCTTTGAGTAAGATTAGGTCTACCACACAGGATGCTTTTCGCAGCTATACTTAATCCGGTTAGTTCATGGTTGTTTCTGTCGATATAAAATGTGAAAAGTTCTTATTTCGAGTTCCTATTTTCGAGCTCCCAGTACCCCATATACTCAAATCCTATTACTTCTACGGCCACTATCAAATATATTCTCAAAAGTTTAAAAATCCTTATATATGGGAAGACTGTGTACTGGCGGCGAAAGCCGACGCGGCGGTTAATTGGGAACGCCCTTGTCGCAAATTCCGATCTTAAAAGTCTTCGGGGTCTTCGTTCAATATCTTAGCGGCTCGAGCCGCAGAGTAAAGCTGCGGCGATGCCGTCAATACGCTACCTTCGCTGGTTCGTGCTTATAAAACCTTGGTTTATAGCTATCAACATGCGAGCAGACCAGAAACCTTTGCCAAAGACCAATGAAATTTTAGCAGCTTCGTTAGGTCCCTTCTAGCAGCACAACTGCGACTAACCTCTCATTGGCCGATTTATGCATGCACTTGTGGCGCCCTCTGGTCACCGCGTTTGGAGATACGAGTTCGGCAAGTTCCAAAAAACCTCCACCGGGGGCGCTGCCGGCCGGCCGGCCAAAATTTCAAGTTCATCATAGTCGTTCCACTTTAGACATTTGCGTGTAGTAAATGCTAATTTTTCACATTATAAAGTAGCAATGATATATAATTTCACCTCAACCTTGTCAAGTTGGCAGTACACTTAATTGTTAAGAGAAGTAATTTATTTTGGTAGTTTGAGGCAGAGACACAGCACAAGATGGTGCGTACTTCTACCACACAACGGTCTGCAAATAGATAAGAAACCACTTTCAAAATCGTTGTCATCTGACAGGGACGTAACACAGTTACCAAATCAACCAATATAGGTATAAGTCATTGTCTAATTCTTGACAAATTCTTACCGTTATGTCAATTGACTACTATATATGCATAGAGCTCGGTCTCTTTCATTCGATATCGAAGAATAAGAGCTCGATGTGAAATTCAAGCACTCAAAACGTCTGTTCATCTGTACCTGTTCGGCGAGTGCGGTCGCATTGGTGCGCTGCTCGGTTTCGTGATGAGTGTCGTTAATACGAGTGATTTTCGCTGCTGTAACTCCAAGGTAGGCAGCATATTTTTCCGCGACCGATGCCAGATCGGGAAATGCACAATTGTTCACGTGCATCATTGTTAGGCAAGCTGCCTGTAAAAGTATGCCACAGATAGGCGTTCTCTTCGATGTGCCTTCGTCCGTATGGTCTTACATATCTGAGGCTAGATCACGCTCGAGAATCCCTTAAGGTCTAGCTTTTGGTAATAACAGTTTTTCTGATACTGGTAGGTCAGACAAAACAGAACCAGCAGATTTCTCCAGGGTAGACCGTTTCCTGCCACTGTCTTACCTCTCTCACATACACACACACACACACACACACACACACACACACACAGACAGACAGACACACAGAATTAAAATGAATATAGAACAGGACGACGAGAAGAACAAACTATTTTCCTGACATCTTCTGATGTTGTTGTTGTTGGCTGCCAGGAACAGTTGTGTCGGTTCCTGCTCTGTCTCGTCGTCTATGACGTCGATACTACTAACGAGTAAAAAATCCATTAGATACAACAAATATCGTGGCGAACCTCACTTCAACACACTTTGTTATGTTTTACACGTTTTTCGATAACATCAAAAAGACGATCCAGCTGATAGTGGAACAGGGTATCTTAACAGGCACTTCATTTGTACTACTAATACCATCTGGGCTGGCAAACGTTTCACTTAACGTTTTTTATAGGAAGTATTGCTTTGTATTGAAACTTGGCCCGAATTGACAACGCACCGACGCGATATGCTTTCGTTCTTCCCAATCTATATATGTGTTCAGATTTTTTCTTTCCTTCCTTCCACTGACCAACTGTTGTACGAACCGACCCCACCAGTCGATTTCACTGCACTCGCTGCGCACTTTTTGATCATGACAATTGTCACATAGTGCTCCACAAATGGCTTTGCCCAATCATACATTGTTCGAAACAAGCTCGCTGTTGCTGGTCAACGAAACTTTTCTTCACTTTCATACTGTTTCTTGTAGGCTGCCCCATCCGATTTTTTTTCTTGATATTATTCTATTGCTCTAAGGTGTGATTCGCAGCTTTTGCTTGTGTTGCTGACGACTGCTTCGATGCTCAGCCTGTGGCGACCGCTGATTGCCTGACACGCTACTTCTGTTGCTAAGGCTTCGTTTGTAACTCTTCGACCGAACGACAATACGTGTTAGCGAAAGCGGTGCCGACAACTTTCTTCAAGCTATTGCCCTACGAAAACACAGCGGTAAATCCACCAACATAGCGTGCAAGAAGTAGCACGTGTAACTGCAATAGCACCTGTACTACTAGTTCTTTCGTTTTATGTACGTAGACTTCAATTCATCAGCCGGTCAGCTCCATGTCCGACACCAATCCTACAGTTGGTGCTACTTTTTGTCTTATTCCTTCGGACCTCCTCCTGCCTGCTGACATCCTGGCGCGCTCCCGATACTGCGATTTGCTAAAGATATACCTAGGGAGCCGACGTGGCTATGCTGTGTACGACCCAAGTCGGTCCGCTTGCTGAGCTGCTTGGCTGGCAAAGATGTTGCTAGCGGAGTCCTGGCGTTCGCAGCGCGCTCCGGGCCCGCGCGTTGCCAGGAGTGTTTTGCTACTCAGCCGCCTCCACCGGTGGGTCTTAGCTCTCTTTCTCCGTGGAAATAGCGCCGCCGCCGCCGCCGCCACTGCTGCTTGCAGTAGCAGCAGCAGCTATCAGCACACCGAAGGCAGCGGCCGCGGCAGCTGCCGCTGGCACTGCTGCGCCACTCGCGATTCTCCTGTATTACTCTTCCCCACTCTTCTCCTCGGGCCGTCTCTCGTCGTCGTGGTCGGCTCTGCGCCGTTGGCGTTGTTCAGCTGCCCTGCCTTACTTTGCTTAGTCTACTAACGCTTGCTAAGGCCTGGTCCTAGCCTACGTTCTTGCCTAGCTAGCTAGCTAGCTAGCGGCCTGTATAGTCGTTGCGTTCCTACTTCTTGCTTACCCACTCAGCAATTGTGTCGGTCGGTCGGTCGGCCGGTCTATCTCGTGGGTGACTATGGCCGTGTGACTGCGCATGAGCGTCCGTTGGCTTAGGCGCTGGCAGCGGTGGCTGGCGATGGCGGTCGTGGTAAGCGTGGTAATGTTCATGGTGATGATGAGCGTGGGTAGTGCAGCCCCCTGCGAACTCCTTTTTTCTGGTCATGCCCCTATGTCTTCTTCTTGTGCAGCTGCAGAGAGCAGCTGTGTGTGCGGTTCGCGCGCGCCTCGTCAGCCAGTGGTGAGCGATAAAGTGTTGGCCGTAGTAGAGGATAGAGGGCGCTAGCAGCACACGAAAGCAGCCGCTGCCGCTGCCGCCTTCGTTGCCGTCCTTTACTTGACGCGAACAGACAAAGAAAAGTCGCTTTACAAATGAGATGTCTATTTCAGTGCGGTGCATCGTCAGGCAACAGAACTCACACTAAATAAAAATATGTATACAAATAAATTGGGCGAAATGCACCGTACTAGGCAGAGCAAGAAATGCTTATTTCGCACTCGACAGTAAAAAGCACCTCAATGAGTAACCAATAATAGCTCGGAAGCCATTTTGATAACGGGGAAAAGCTTGCAACTACGCAAAAAGGTTCATATCCAGTGACCCAGCCCCATTCTTATTGAACTATACATGCTAGCTTCTTGGACAGCTTAGCCACCGCCACAGCCAAACGCGCTCCCTTGAGCGTGAGAGTAGTACTGAAGTGCAGGCAGAGCGCCGCACATAGGTGGCATAAAAAACAGAGTTTTTGCTACTGCTGCCGCCGACGCTGTAGTCCCAGCTAGCGGGTACAGCGGATGGTGGGAACTGCTCGGCCAGTAGACCCGAACGGAGAGCGTCGATGAGGCGACAAGAAGAGGCGGAGCGCGGCAATCTGAGGGCGGTCGCTGCGTGGGTGGAGAACCGCCAACGAACGACAGACGAGTCGAGAACAAGACGAAAACGAAGGAATTTTTGCGTCAATGGATGATCGACGTCAAAAGGCGAAACTGACTGTCTCTGCGCCATTTGAGATTAAGTAGAACAATAGCTTGACAGGACTGTGTTTGGTACAAACTGACTATAAAAATACAAAGAATACTCCCGCAACGTCTGCCGCTGCTCAAAGGATTACGGAACGGTGAAAGAAGCAAAAAATTCGATTTTGTGTGCAATAAAACCAGAAATGTCGTTCGTGAAGCCTATCCAGGTGACATTGCGGTTAATTTGAGATTAGCTATGACGTAAAGCTAGAACGTGGTAAATCACGAGCGATAATTATAGTCGTCCGTAATATTTACTTGGTTCTTGTTGTAAGGCCTAATATCACAATGTAAAAATAGCAAAGTGACTTTTTTGTCACATGTGTGGTAGATTTCGACACATTGTGACACAGATACGTTGTCGTAACAGGCATTTGTCATCCGCCATTCTTTTATAGAACAACAAAACTAGTTCGGTTAAGAAAAAAAAAGGACAACCTTGTCATAACGGATTCTCCGGAGTCACAGGGGTTGCTTCTTTGAACTACGAATGTGCTTCAACTCTAGTTTAAGGTTACTGAACCGGGCGAGCTTTTACTAGAATTACACCCTTATAAAAGTGACCGTCTGCGTTCTTTTCGAGACGAGACTGCATATCGCCTATAGGGTCGTTTATGTGAAATATAACGGTTACCTGTTTAAGTTTTAGCGTCTTTTCGCGTTTTTGGACATTTTTGTATGTATTACCCGCTACCACTGCCGGGCCAAAATTTAAGTTCTATGGATTTTTTGTGTAACTGGTTTTTTTTTTTTTTTTTTCGGGACTTTTATGCGCAGTGCTGTTAATCACGGTTGCAGATAGAAGAAAGGCTATTTGCAAATTCTAGGAGTGCATTTTGGTAAACGTCTTTTTGTAAAATAGTAGCCACATCGAAAAATACATCCGTCAGAAACGTTTTTGACAGCAAACGCAAACAGATTTGGTCCAAATGTCTGTTTTAACTCAACAGACATGCCTTATAAACATGCAATTTTTTCGGTGTTTTAGTATATTTCAAACGACTTATATACGAATTGTAGAGGAACTAGGCCTTTGATTTGGAAATTCATTGACTGTACAGCCTCTCCGAGGGTTTTATCAATATATAAAAGAAGGGAAAACAAATACTATCCGATATACTGATTCGAGTATATTTATACTGTACCTTTTTGTACACTAAATAAATTGTAAATATATTCGAAATAATAATGGAATATTACAAAAATTGAATTATTTTTATTGTTTCTAGAGGGACACCGTTGTTTAGAGTGCAACACGCCGACCTTTTAGTTCTTGCGAGGACAAGCAGTCGTGCCCCTTAAATAAAACCCAATTACTGTCAGGCGCTCGATTCCAAATTACTACTCATTGTTAATAAAATATCAGTTTAATATAATATTAGTTGATACAAAATGTCCAGTTAACAAGTTACATATGTCGACATATTTTTATTGTCAAACTACCGTTTGGCAAATTGGTTTGCGTTGTTACCAAATGTCTTTTCTTAGGTCTTTCAGCACTCGCTTGCCTTACCCATTTCGCTTTCTCTTGCTATTTGATATGGAGGAATGCCTACTGGGCATAAATTTCTACTTAACCGCAGAACCCCCAAGAAACGCATAAACAAATCATTTATTAGTACGTGACCATATATACCGGTACTGCAATACCATCAAAGTCTTTCCTTGAATTTCTCTGCCATGGCAGGCTACATTGCAGCTCATATGGACCGGCTGCTTTACCTTATGGGGGCGCACAAACCTCCGAATACCTCCACCCTGGCGGCCGAGTGTATCTCAAGTGATGAGGACAACAACCGTGCCACGGCGTTAAAGTCGGGGATTGTATGCCGTCTGTACGCAGCGACGCCTCACGCAGCACCCACACATCTCGCTTATGTTTTCTGGGCCTTGGACCCTTCTTCCTGCTCGGCTAAGTCCTTTGTGCCTGCGACAACCTATCACTGGCTATGCCAGTTCTCCGCTACCGACCGTATGTGTCGGATGGCCATGGATGGCTCCTCTATGCAAAGCAGGCCATTCCAGCGCACATCTTTCCTATCTTAGCACAAGCGGTAAGCCGAAACCAACCAATGTCGAGGCCGAGTTTTGCTGCATTCGCCCGCTGCCAGGTTTCCCCGGCAATCACCAGCCCGTAGTCTCTTGACGCTTCCAGCTCGGCTTCGGTGGTAACTCCATATACGTCGTTTTCCTTCATTTGCTGTTTCTTCCTGCTGCTTCAGTGGATGCTGATGCTACTTCCATTATCACTGCTTTTTTTTCTTCTACTGAATCCTACGGTCGTTTGCCTGCTTAGGTTTTTCCGATGGTAGGAAATAGATGGAGCACCGCGCGGTGCTGGTGAGACTCTCTTCCACTACCTACATGGTACGCGCTATGTGGCTAACGTTCGGTGACTCTGTGGATAACTCTGGGGCTGTTCTGTCTATTCTACTCAGCCGGCTCCCTGTGGCTTCTCGCGCGCGGAAAATCTCGTTCTTTGTCGTACAGGCTGGTGGCTCTGTCTCCAGCTTTTTGCGCAAGGGAGTCGCACACATAAACGTGTTACTATTGTTGAAACGTCGCAGGTTCGGCTGGTAATTTGCCGACAGTTGTAACGGCAGAAAGTAGCATTGATAAGACAAGGTCGCTGGCTGTAGCACCGAGGAATAGGCTATGAGCAGGAATCTTTCGGATTTGTTTTTTGTTTATTGAGATTTTGCTTTGCTTTATAACAAAAGTGTGACAGCCTGTGGTATTGCGGCTTAAAAGATGCCTCGGTGCTAACTGTAATTTTAATTAACGAAAATGGATAAATCTGTCGAAGCTCTGCCCACCTACGCTGTCGAATCACTGGACACGGTTCTTTTCTGATCTAGTAACCTGGAGTCCTTTTGTTAACGAAGGCATGTACTAGAAATAGGCACATGCAGCGTTCGTGTCCCTCACAGAGGCATGCTAACAATATATTTGTTGATCAATTGTCATTGCTAATCTTTGTTATTCGTTTCTTCCAATACAAGACATATGCAGACAGGTGTACCGTAAAAGCTTAGTAGTACAACAAATTTGTTCCGCTTAGTTGCATATAACATTCTGCGGATCTGACGTCCTCAGCCTGATTTCCTCGTCTGCCATATGAGATGTGTCTCTTACCATACAACCATGGAATAGCTGATGGCAGTAGTCAGACGAAATACGTGAGAGCGTATGCAAAGTGAGCAGCGACCAGGAAAGTTCATAGGCAGGGGCTGATGCGCTTAGGTCTGCTGTTCTCCCAGAATGAGCATGCGTTCTCTGTAACGGACGTGGGAACTCTGAGTGGAAGCTCAGGAAACTTACTACACGAATCTTAGGAGTGCTCGGATGTACAGTGTTACAGTAGCGCTGAACCGGACTAGTGAACCTCAAGCATAAGCAACAGATAACTAAGAAAGGAACAAGCAACAAGCTATCACAGGCGGCGGCGGCGACAACAACAACAACAACAACGTATCGGGCGAGCCGGCCAGCCAACAACCGACCCGGCGTTCAGTCGTTACTG